TAGAACATAGTTAACCCAAATATAAATAATATAAATTTTTTTTTTTTTGAAAAAGTAGCATTTTTGTAAAGATTTCAAAAGTGTGACATTTTTGTAAAGTGGCACTTGAAAAGTGGTATTTTTTTTAAATTTCTCAAATATTATTTTACCAGATGAATAGGCTTTTAATAAAATTTAGACACAATCTACAAATAGCTTGAGGCGGTTTTGCATATATACACATAAATACGGCGAATGTTTGTGTAGATACAGTTAATTAAATGGATATATATATATATGACTCACAACATTGAGAAGGTCAACACAAGCACGACTTCCTCTTCCTCCAGCGTTACAAGCCTTCACCGTAGAGTTCAAAGTATGAGGAAACGGTCTAACTAAAATCTAAGTCTAATGTTTTGAAAATTTCTTTAATCATAGTTAAGAGAAAATAATACTCAATTAAATAATATTAGATTCTAACCACAATTAGATGTTCATCTTTCTTGCAAACCGATGCCACTTGAGAAAGAAAATCAGGATTTATAACCCTACCTGCAAACCATTCACAATGGGCTTTTGAAGTTTATTAATTATATATTATTGGAATTTGGTTATTGGAGTTCCGTCTGACTTCGGTTTGTGTTGGTTTACATTCGATTCACTAACTACAACATATTCCTAAAGATATGCACATTCGAAGGTTGTTGTTTTCAGTTCCGTAACAGAGGCAAAGATAGTTGTAACTAGTTGTAGATTTTCTTTAGATTCTCGTTTAATCGCTTGCTATATATGTATGCTCTTGAAAACTTTATCAATACACATAAATTATCAGTCTCTATTTCTCTTTATTGATAATGATCTCAAGAGCATACATATATAACAAGCGATTAAACGAGAATCTTATTAGAAAATATAATATATTGTGCTTGTATATATTTCCTTATTTGTGTTAGGTTAAAATAGATTTGGTATATAGATTAGGAGTTAGCCGCTCTTGTAAACTTGAGACACTAAAACATAATTTTATTCAGATCTTTTATGGTATCAGAGGAAGGTTCTCCTGAGAGAGTGTTTGATCCGTGAAAAGAAATTGTCTCCGACGTTGTTGTTTTCGGATTAGAGCTATGATTTTTGAGAAATATGGAGTTGCGGATTGCACTCTTGAAGATGTGAAAAAGGGAATCACGAAAAACGTTCTTGGGAGGAAGATGGTTATCGAGAAGAATGGAGTTGCGGAAGGCGCTCTTGACGATCCGGAAGATGGAATCGCAGAAAGCGTTCCTTTGAGGAAGATGACTATTAAGAAGAATGGAGGTGCGAAAAGCACTCTTGAAATCAGGAAAAGTGGAGATGCGCAAAGCGCTCTTTTGTGAAAAGATATTGATGTGGCGCACACACACGTTGTGTCACACATGAATGTGGCACCTACGAATTATGTGTCACACATTGATGGTTTTGTGTCACACACTGAAGCGACACATGCCATAACAGGATTAAAAAAGGAACAATGGGATCGACTTTTGAGTATGCTGGAGTCGAAACCAGAGTCTGGGAATCGTTTTACTAGTAGGAGTTATAAAGAAGAA